CAAACTTTGAGGTGTTTTAGGTCCAGGTGACATCTTGGCTTATCTCTGTTAATAGCTGTTATATACATATGAAACCAAACGCCACAGGGACCGTTTACCTGTGGGCAGCTGAAGCCTGCTCAGACGTAATTGGTCAAACTACAAAAGGAAACCAGAACACTTCCTGCCCGAAAATCTTCTCCTTGTTTGTAGAGATAAGCCGGATCTAAAGTTAGGTTCACATCTCATGCAGCCGCTCTCACTCTGTCTTTAAACGTGGTGAGATCAACGTCAGAGGTCACAGTCAGGGGTTAAACTCTGCTACCGTCCATTTATCACAATGGACGATGGAAGTGCTGGTTATAATCACACTTCCAATTATCATCTTCAACTTGGTGTTTCTGAAGATGTCACAACGTTCAAAATGTGCCTGTCAGCTGCCTGATGGAAGCCTGATGGGTTATATTGACCACCTGACAAAAAAAAATCTCAATGATGACATAGAGAATAAAGATAATTAAACCTCACTGAAAACCTCGATAATCAACACTGCACTTCCCCCTCAGGTACAAGATGTTTGAAAGAAACATCAAAAGACAGACGAACAGAGATTCCTACATTTTTTAATCTACTTTTTAAAAATAATGCTTGAAGTTTTCACATACAGATTAATGCTGGATTCACTGAGAGCAGTCATGCTCATGGACTTTTGTTGAGATAGTTTTGTTTGGAAACCAGATTGTATCTCAAATCAAATAATATTCCAACATTATCCGTCAGTGTTTGAATGATTCTGCATCGTATCTGCTGTATGTGGTGCTCAGAATCAGGACTGATGATGTAGCACAGAGCGTCAGGGTGCCTCTGAGCATTTTAGCTTTATTAGCGTTTGGGATTATGGCCCAGGATAAATCCTTAATTTATAATGGTTTTTATAGTTTCTGGCTGCAAAATCCTTTTCACACTCTTATCAATAGAATTAATAATAAAACAGACCCGTGGATTAATAGTGGAGGTTGGAGTGACCTACAGTGCAGATATATAGGTGGTTTTAAAGTGGTTTAGGAAATAAAATGTTAATAATATTAGTTTGAATAAAAATCACTTGAGTGAAGAGGTGATGACTGAGATGATACTCGACGCAACACAAGCACAAAAACTATCTCTTGTTTAATGAAGCAGATATGTTTATCCTCACAGGAACGTGGATGTTTGACACTAAATGCTTTTTGAGGTTGAGGAGTGATCATGCTCCAGTGGTGGCTAATTAATTCCCCCTGATTTGTACAGAAAAAAAAACATCTGGATTCAAAAAGTGTGCAGGAAATAAACCTGCAGCAACAGATATTAGTGAGTCTTTAATTATGTGTGTGCTTAGTTTGTGAGGTAAATCATTTATTGTGTCAAGATGCACGTGCAAGTTTCCAGCGCACGTTGACTCATAAGGCATCAAAAATACAAGACGAGAGCATAAATTCTTATATTCCAATACTGCAGAACAATGAAAATAAAGAACTGCTGTCCCATGCTCTGCAAATAAAACCTGCCACAATAAAAACTCAAGGTTTTTATAATCATCCAACGAGCCAAACTCATCAGAAATGCACAAAATGATAGCCCATAAATCCCAGTATAATGAGCAATAAAGAACCAAAGGTATTTCATCCTTAATCGCACAGAAATCACACAACAACCTCCAGTTTCTGTAGCTAATGGAAACGAACCCGAGCTGCACTGTGCTCACACAGACCTCTGACTTCTTTCACTTAACTTAGCTGTGATTTAGTTTTGTTCTGAGCATTAACAGCCCTCTCTTCTCGTGAACCTTTTTCACAGAGCCATGATTACACTGCAGCCTCTTTAAAATAAA